GTGGGGTCCCCCAGAGTCCTCACCTCAGGTTTACCCCTCAGTGTTCAGTTGGTGCTGCACAGATCTTTTTATTTATTTGATCATTGGTGGCAATTATGGTAGCATCAGTTTGACTAAGTCCTGTTCCAGATGTAGAATAAATCGGAGAATAGAGGGAGAGATGCAGAGGCAAAAGAGGAGAGAAACGAAGAGGCAGCTTGCGAGTTCGAGAAGAGAGGGAATGACAGGGGAAAGGAAGTTCTGGCAAGAAGAGATACATCATGAGCTTTGGAGAAGGCAGTCCAGCAAAAGTACCCTAGATTTTCACTTCTATCAGGTAAAACCGGGTGGAGATTTTTCAAACCGGTATTTGTTAAGTCAGGCCTGGAGGTAGAGCAGTCAAATAACCAGCAGAAATCAGAGGGGTCCCGTCCCTTCCAAGATAGGAGGGACAAGAAGGCAGTAAATGCCAGTCAGCTTATGGATGCAAATGTTGGGAGGAAAAGAGAAGCCAGATTTCTGCTGACATTCCCTTATTCCTGGCCTTGTCTTCAGTGAGTTGTGGTGAAGAATGGGTGAGATGAGCCATGTATTACAATGTGGTTTTGACCACAACTCTCATTAACCTTGGCTTTGTCTAGGCCCTTAGTTTTGTGTGGGCCCCATGTAAGGCACCCCTACCCCTTCTGGCTCCTCGACTTCACAGTTCATGCAGGTGAGGAACGGGCTTCCTGTCAGTGTCAGAATTCTGGATCAACTCAAAGATGAATTTCACCTGAGTCTGGTAGCCTTGGACAGAGATTTTCTCATTGATTCCATGGATGCTGAGGGAAAGACAGATGCATTGTGGGAGAAGGGAAGAGCCCAGTACCGTAGCACAGGTGGCATTACATAGCACTGTCCCCACCTGTCTCCCCTTCCCCTGATACTGCTGGCCTTTGACCCTTGGGGATGGAGAAGCCATTTGTGAGGTTTCATTTGACCAGTTGGTCATCTCCCAAGGGGGCAGATAATGAACCAAATCCTGGGAGTTTAAATCTTTTTCTGCTCTGAGGTCTATTCAGTAGCTTCCCTTTCAGGGGAACTGTCTTTCTAATTCTTTTTCTTTTAGAACAAAGTCCCCAGCTAGACTTTTCTCCGAGCCTACCCCCCCGCCCCCATCCTTCAGCTTACTAAGGACAAGGAAGTTTACGGAGGGCAACACCCAGGGCACCTGTTGGGTTCTCTGCTTCACCTATCAACCTTGTTCTCAGATTGCATGCCCACCAACGTGCCTCCCACCAATACAACCCAACAAATGACAAAGTACACTTGTAACCTCAAAGATGGCTGAAAAGAGAGTAGCTCTCAGCCCTCCCTGCTTGGTTTAAAAAACAAAAACATAAAAGCTACTCTTAAGTTCATACTTAAATACTTTCACTCCATTTCTAGGTGATGTATGGTGGGGAAATCTGATCTAGATGTGATAAGTAGCAGAGCTCAGTGGAAATTATCCTCCCACACTCCAAGGTTCAGAATTTGCTGAAGAACCCACAAAATAGCAGATCACATATGCCTACAGTTGACCTCATGTGTGTTTGCTTTCTCAGAGAAATACTATGGAAATTCAAGATAGGAACACTAGTTTTTGTAGGTAGAGAAAATGAGGTCCAGGAGATTAACATACTCTCAAAGGGAGGAAGAGCACCCAAAGATCCCAATTCCACCAGATTCTTGCCAATCATCTGATTATCTCATTCTATTAAAATTTTTTTTTTGTAGTTGTAGATGGACAGAATGCCTTTATTTTATTTATTTTTATGTGGTGCTGAGGATCAAACCTAGTGCCTCACACATGCTAGGCAAGTGCTCTGCCACTGAGCTACAGCCTCAGCCCTCCATTCTTTTTATTTTATTTTGTGGCACTAGGGATTGAACCCTGGGCATTTTATCACTGAGCTTAACTTTTAAGATGGGGTCTTGCTAAGTTGCTGAGGCTGGTCTTGAACTTGTGACCCTCTTGACTCAGCCTCCTGAATCACTGGGATTACAGGCATGTGCCACTTTGTCTGTCTCTCCATCCTTTGAAAAGAGGGGCAATTCCTACAAATTCTGGGCAGTGGCAAGATGAACAATGAGGACAGCTGGCTTCTAAGATGTCTCCATTTTAATTTGCTACACCCTGGCTTCCTCCATTCTGTGGTCTGTCTGCTTGGGAAGGTACAGGTCACATGTGTCTCCTGTGTCCCCACTGTAGCTCAAACCTGTTCCACTCACCTCCTGAAGTCCTGAGGCTGAAGGTAGACAGGGTTGAACAGATAGATGCCAGTGGTGAGGTTGGTGTAGTGTCGGCTGTCTGTGTTGCCAATACAAGTACCTAGAGAGGGAAGAAGAAGAGGGCTTTCCATGAGAAACCAAGCCAGAAAGTGGCAACAGGTGGGCTGGCTAGAAAATTAGGACCCCTTGGTCACTATAGAACAATGGCTAGGCTCACTTATGAGCTATGCCTATGTTTGTTTTGTCCTGCAAGCTGCCCTTTTTCGAAACATCAGGAAGCATCATTTCAGCCAGGAACTTGGAATCCTGAAGGCATTGGTGAGATACCCTTAGAATGGTCTGAAGCTAAATGCCCTCTTTCCTTGATGACCAGGGAGGCTAATATCTTTATCTCATACCCACAGCCATGGTCATTTGCTACTTTAGAAACCATAAATGTAGCTAGGCATGGTGGCACACACCTGTAATTCTAGCAACTTGGGAGGCTGAGGCAGAGAATTGCTAGTTCAAGGGCAACCTCAGCAATTTAGTGAGTCCTTAATAACTTAGAGTTACCCTGTCTCAAAAGAAAAAATAAAAAGGGTTGGGGATGTGGCTCATTGGTGAAGCACCCCTGGATTCAGTTCCCAGTACAAAAAAGAAACCATAAATCTTCTTTATCACCTGGTCTATATTCTGTATCCTGGTCAGAAATTAACACCCTTTAGGGAATTGTACTGCTATGAAATTCAGTCCTCTCTAAGTGGGACATGATTTCCTGTCATTCTCATCCTCTGGGTGATGATTCTGCTTTAGAGTCAAACCTCAGGTTTGGAAAGTTCCAGAATGTTCTCTTCTCAGTCTCCTACTTTTCTGAGGGCAGAGGAGTAGGTCACATCAAGGACTGGGATTTATCCCTGAAAGGCACCTTCTTTGGGAAAAGACACCCTGGAGCATCAATTCAAGTGCAGTGGGGTGATTTGAAATGGTAATTTGTATTTTGTTCTAATTTCTTCTTCTGGTTTCAAATGTAGCTTCATGTGTGGGAGTTTCTGCCAGATGATTTCTGCCCATCTTTTTTCCTATAACAGCTTCACCACTTTGATGAAATGACTGAAAATGTCCCAAAAGGTAAAAAAGTAGGATTAGGGAGCCTTTGAAGGTCAAGAGGGGACAGACCATGTGAGGCTGTGAGGGCCAGGGCTCCTAAATGTTAGGAGAAATCTATAATTAAACCCAGATGGAGGGAACGTGGACAGAGGCCTTTACACCAGAACATCTCTTCCTACACTGTAGACAAGAGATTCTTACACTGGTCAGTCGCCACTCATATCAGAATCCCCTGGGAGTATTTGTCAAAAAGGTAGGTTCCAGAGTCCTATTCAGATCTGGCTAACTGGAATCTCCAAGAGTGGGTTCAGATGGTCTGCATTTTTAAGATGTTCTCTAGGTGATCCTCTTCCACTCTCATTTTGGAGAACCACTGTCATAGATAGATTTGGATGATATGCTAGAAGTCTGGGGGCTGGGGATGGTCCCAGAGGTTTCTCTGGGCTGATGACTGAACCCTGCTGCTGAGCTGTTATCCTAAAGTGAATTGGAATTAGAATCTGGGGGAATCTTGCTTTTCTGTGGCTTCTCCAGAGGGGGAGAATTTTCAGCCAATTCTCCTTTCTCTGTCAGAGGGGCACAGGTCTTTGCTAGACTAGGTTAAGTAAGGACCCAGGCTTGACTGATTTAGTTTATTGTTTCTGCTCCTTTCCTGTTTGCTTTCTCACTTCCACCCCAAAGGGAAAATACAGTTCCAGTCCCATCAGGAGGGGAAGCAGCCAGCTGTTTCCAGGATGAACAGCTGGGGTGGGGGTGGGGCAGTGGACATTGGATAGGAAACAGTTCCAGCCCCCGCCTCTCTCCAACCACAGCTGATGAAGTCATTACCTGGAGTAACAATATTGACTTCTGGAAAGACAGATTGTATGGTCTGGTGGAGCATCTGGTAGCCCAAGGCCTGGTCATCAATGGGGCTGATGGGTAGGGGGTCAAAGGCTCTTAACACGTGGAACTGGACTCGGTCATCAGCCACAATGTTCTTGATGAGTTCCAGGACCTCCATGGTGGAAACAAAGAGGGTTAGATTTGTTACTGAACTGCAAGTACCATATGAATTTAAATGGTCCTGATTTCTCTCCAGCAGAGCCCTGGGGTTTACAGAAAAGACACTTTTTTTTTTGTTTGTTTGTTATTGGTACTGGTGATTTAACCCAGGAGTGCTCTACCACTGAGCTACATCCCCAGCTCTTTTTATTTTGAACATGTCTCCATAAGTTGCCTACACCAGCTTTGAACTTGTGATCATCCTGTCTCAGCCTCCTGAGTCATTGGGACCTCAATTTCAACTGACTGGCAGTAGGTGATGTAAGAGCTGGCCCTTCTGAAAAGCAATCTATAGCATGGTAGATTTTGGCTAAATACTTGGGAGACTTGTCTAATAGCTGTGAGTCGGCGGGGAAATTCTGTGAATTTCCCCTTAGGTCATGAGCCACAGACTGGGTGAAAGTGTAAAAGAGTCTTTAGAATAGGAATCTCAACAGCAAAGAGGATGATCCTGCTTCAACTAGAGTTCCAGGTGACGAAAGGCCATACATTTTTCCTTCCCGTCTCTGGGCATCCCTGCTTCCTGTTTGTAACCAACTGCATTGCAGCCAGGAAGATGAGCTCAACACAGACAAAAGCTAGGAGTTGGGATGCTTGTATTCAAGTCTTCTTTCTTTGCCTCCTTTCCTCAGGAAGGAACCTGAAGAAACTCCTGAAAATTCAGCCTGAAATGACTAGAAGCAATCAGCAAAATCCCTGATCCTAGGAAGGATACAGACCAGATCCTGACTCTCCTAGTGGCCTCAGTTCTACTCGTTGAGGGCCATTCAGAATAAACCTCCCTTTCCACGTGGAACCCGTTAAACTTCTGAAGACTCCTGCTCCTTACAGAGAAGTGTTGGAGCTGATCAACATCTGGAACATGGGAGATACCAGTGGAAAATGGAGAAGGAGGACTCTTGGGGCTGCCTGTGTTCCCACCAGGTCTACTCGAAGCTCTGTGCATGCAGCCTTAGACCATGTTCCTGACCCATAAAGCTGGGGCACTAGGGTCATGGTAGTGACCATGATGGATGGGCTCTGTGAGCTTTGATGGATGGAAGATTTCCATTCCTCAGTGGGCAGGTGGGTAGGTGGGCAGGGTGGGCCTGGGGATCCCAGGGGTTTCATCAGATAGGCTGGGAAGGAAGGCCTCTGTGGTGGGGAAGAGAGGAGGGAGGAGTGCCATGACCTAGGGAGATGAAAGCCTGCTGGGTGGAAAACAGCCCTTGCAAAGGGCATGGAATTGGAATGAGGCTGGAAAAAAACTGGTGGAAAGAAGCTCAATGAGGGGAATGCAGTGATTTCCTGGCCCTATGAGCCCCTAGGGAATGGACAATGGTTGGCACCTGATGAAAAGCGGCATAGTCATGGCTCACCCCTCACCCAGTGCTAGAGGACTCGGGGCAGGCCACTGACCCACTCCCCAATCTACAATGAGGAGTGTGCTTCCCTCCCGGTGTGAGGACAGATGAAATCCCCAAGGGGAATAATTTAGGAGAAAGGATCACAGAATGTCCCCTCTTAATGTGTGTCAGGGATCCGTCCCTAACTCATCTGATAATTGTTGGTTGCCTTTTAGATTAATTTGTTGTTGTTGTTGTTTTGGAGTGCTGGGGATCAAACCCAGAGCCTCAAACATGTTAGGCAAGTGTCTACCACTGAGCTACACCCACATGTTAGGCAAGTGTCTACCACTGAGCTACACCCACATCCCATTTTTGGTTCATTTTTGAAGGGTCAGATTAACCTTTTGAATTCTTTTTGGCTCAACCAGAAAGCTGGCATTTCTTAAAGATATCAAACATTTTGTGTAACTTCTGCTCACCCTGAAGTTTTCAGCTCAGATGTCACTCTCTCAGGGAAGACTTGTCTGACCCCACAGAAGGTCTGGTTCCTGGAATATTTTCCAATAGCACAAGATTCCTTTGTCCTGACACTCATCGCTGCCTAGGAGGTTCCAATTATGTTAATAACACTGCAGTTTGCACCTCTGGTTCATGTCTCTCTCCAGACCTGCAGTATTTATAATTGCCTATTACTATGTTATATACATCTTAAACTTCAAAGCTGTTGTATTTCTCATTGAACTTGCTCTTCTTCCTGAGTTTACAATCTTGATCAAAGGAATGAGTGCCTGGTCAACTACCCAGGTTAAAGACTTTGCCTTTCAGTACACATCCATATATACATCCTATCCCGTTGGACCTTTCTCTCTTGAAGTGAATGCTCCTTCTTTTACCCTGTGACCTTGGCCTCAAGACATTGCAGAAGCTTCTTTCTCTACTTCAGCATGTCCTCTGCATTGCCACCAACATTATCTCCCTCACAGCAAATCTATCCTGGTGCTTTCTGAAGATTTCTGAAAGTTCCCTCCTGTCCACAGATTAGAGTTCAAGTCCTCAGCATGGCACACAAGGCTCTACCTCCAAGCTACAAATCCATCTTCTACCAATCTTTTATCTCCTACTACTCTCCCCCAGTTTATCCTCTTTAGTAACAACGAATGTCTTACTTCTAGAAAAGTCCTGGTGATCCTTTAAGGCCCCTACTCAAATTTCTAGAGGTCAGAAAAGATTTTTGTTGACCCTCCACAGTAGCATCAGTCTCCCTTGCAATGGTCCTATGGTAATTTGTTCAACCCTAATTGTTATAATCATAGTGTTGAGCTGTGGTTAGAACGTTCTGGAACTGAACTGCTAGATGTGCACTTGTTGACTATACTGCTTAGCTGCTGCATTGCTCTGTGTCTCAGTTCTCACCAGGCCAATGAGGATATTGCAGTTGCCACTTCACAGGGTGGCCATGAGGACCTGATGAGTGTGCACATGCATGTATAGCTCAGGAGGGTACCTGACGCAGAGCAAGCCCACTATATATATTTGCTACAATGCTCTAAATTATTTGTACTTGTCTCCTACCCCCAGACTCCAAGTTCCCCAAACCAGAGGTCTCCTATCCTAGCCAAGTAGCAATAGGATGCCTTTAGAACTTGTAGATTGAACAAAGGAGAGACTGGATCTGCCCTATGTTGTAGCTTAACCCACATCCTGAGGGTCCCACCTCTTGGTTGTCTAGAACATATGACACATACCTCCACAACTGTCTGTGCAGGGTGAATCCGGATGTTGACTGTGGCTTTGGCCACTGGAGGGATGACGTTCACCTAAGGAGAGAACCACAAACCCTGGCCTGAGCCAACCTCAAGTTTTCCACAACTCATCCCCGCCCAGGAAATACCAATTACCACCGGCAGGGGCAGAGGAAGCAAATTTGATATAAAGATCCTGGGTTTAATTTTCTTAGTCTGCCTTTGTCTTCTCTGGGTCCTTGACATGGGGTTATATTCAGGCCAGACCTTTATGCTTCTTGATCCTGGAGGGAGTCACAGCTGCCCAGAAAGGATTGTTTTCTCTGTGATGACCCTGAGTTGTACCATTGGGAACCTTCTGTGAGCACTTTCTCAGGGCAATCTGGACATTTCTGTTAATGTTAGTGCTTCCTAATGGGCCTCGGTTATAGTATGTTTGAGCCCTATGGGGATTATGATGGGGGTAGGACTTTCTTGTGTCCATTTGTGAAATATGACTCTATTCTTTGTTCAAAGAGGAAGAACCCAGGACTAATGGAAGAAGGCATATTTTGGAGGGATTATTTTTTCCTGGAAGGCTGAGAGAGAACAGATTCTCTGACTGTATATCATTTTTTTTAATAAGTATGCATAAAAACACATGGCTAGGGACAGCTTAGGTGTTACAAATTGGCCTTGTGAGCCAGGCAGGTTCGCACAGACCTATAATCCCAACAACTCAGGAGGCTGAGGCAAGAGGATTGTGAGTTTGAGGACAGCCTGTGCAACTTAGTGAGACCCTGTCTCAAAATAAAAAATAAAAGGGCTGGGGATATAGCTCAGTAGTAGAGCACCCCTTAGTTCAATCCTCAGTGCTTAAAAAAATATTAGCCATCCATCACAAATTGGCTGTGTTATTTTTAATAACTATAACCTCTTTGTGCCTGTTTTCTTAACTGGAGAGTGGGACAGTAATACTCCTACGGCTCTTAGAAGGATCAAATGGAGTAACGAATGTGAAAGTGGGGGACAAAAACACCATTCAAATGCAAGGATACAGTACTGTTATTCTGGTGAACACTACAGGCAGCTGGTACAGATGGCTTGAATCAGGTGACACACTGAACTCACCAGTCAGCTATGCCAGGACTTAATTCTGAAACACCATTCACTTATATTCAATTTGAGCTCCAGATTACAAGACCTTCTGGAGGTTACATTGTATTCTTGGGGAATGGTGTCCCCAGAAGTTGTGATGGTGGCACTGATAGTTATAGGAGTAGTCTGACTTCCTTCAAGATTTCAGAAAGGGAGCCAGGCGTAGTGGTGCATGCCAGCAATCCCAGAAATTTGGGAGGCTGAGGCAGGATGATCATAAGTTCAAAGCCAGCCTCATCCACTTAGTAAGGCCCTCAGTGACTCAGCAATACCCTGTCTCAAGAGAGAAAAATAAAAAGGATGTAGCTCAGTGGTTAAGTGCCCCTGGGTTCAATCCCCAGTACCAAAAAAATAAAAAATAAAATAAAAATAAAAAAAAATTCAGAAAGGTCTATTTGTGTGGCTAGGCTTGGTTCTTTTAACAGAGATCACTCTTTTTTTTAAAAAAATATATTTTTAGTTGTAGTTGGACATAATATCTTTATTTTATTTATTTATTTTGATGCTGAGGATGGAACCCAGTGCCTCATACATGCGAGGCAAGCGCTCTACCACTGAGCTACCCTAGTCCATGAAGATGCCTCTTAATGGACCATCTGAATGGAAATAAACCAATTAGCTGAAAAATAATTTTGGAATAAAAATTTATCAAAGCATTGAATCAACTAAAATTTATTTCTAGAAAAGTAAGCTTCACATAGAAATTACGAATCAAGCATGGTGACTTCTATCTGTAATCTCAGTAACTTGGGAGGCTGAGACAAGAGGATTGCAAGTTCAAGGCCAGTCTTGGCAATTAGTAAGACCCTGTCTTAAAAATATAAAAATAAAAAACCCAATCAAAAACCACCAAAACCCAAGAGCCAAAAAGCAAAATACCAAAACCAAAACAAACAAAGGGCTAGGGATATAGCTGTGACAGGGCACCCCTGAGTTCAATCCCTGGTATACTGCCTCCCCCACCAAAAAAGAAAGAAATTATGTTTGTTAAGGTTGGCCAATATTTCATAGATTTTTGAGAAATGATAATATACCATGTTTTAAGTGTCATATATCTATCACGCACATGATAGATTTTATAAATGGCGGTGAGTTTCTCTTTCAACTAAGAGTAACACCAAGAGAGAGTACATTGAATTCTCATTATTAAGTGGTAAATCTTTCAAAATATAGGGAAGATTTAAAAAAGATCTTTGATGGTGGAATGCTTAGAAAACTTTAGTTGACATGTATAAAGTGCTAGGTAAATATAAAGCCTGTTGAATTACAGCTTAAGCACAGGTCAAAGTAACCAACTCCCAAACAATCCTTCTTCATACTAGTGTAATATTTTTTTTGGCATGGGGTAGACCCAAGAGGCAGCATTCCCACTAAAATATGCGCGCGCGCGCGCACACACACACACACACACACACCGCATTTTTGTGGTAAACCCAGAGGCATCCTCAGCCTATTTTAGTTTTTTGTTTTGAGATGGGTCTTTCTAAGTTGCTGAGGCTGGCCTTGAGCTTGTGATCCTCCTGCCTCAGCCTCCTGAGTTACTGGGTTTGGGGGCATGTGCCACTGCATCCTATTATACATATAGAATTTGGCCAACAATTTCAGAGGGTTTGTAGGCCTTGACCAGACCCCTTTCTCTTGAGGTTTACCCAACTGATGTCACAGGATAGTTCAGTAGTGGCCCTTCCTATTCAAACTGTAGTCAGAGAGGAAAGGGAAAGCCTTTAGACAAAGCTGCAGGATGGAGGCATGAACGGGCAATAAGGAGATGGTATATGGAAAAGCCAGGCCATGTTACCTTGACCCCTGCATTATACATGGTAAGCGCTGTGGTGGTCCTGATCAGCGCATTGGTCACATCATTTCTCTCCAATATCCTAAAACAAAAAGATTAAAGTCAGACATTAGGAAGAACTATCCAATGGGGAAAGAAAGTTCATTCACTTTTCCTGAACCTCAAAAATCTTTCAGGCTGAGAGAGACAATCCGTATGTGTATTAGATGTAGTGTCTGAGGCTGAGTTCATTAGTCAGGTTCAAGTGAATCAAGGGGAGGGGTAGGTTTGGGTGGGAGGTGCAGAGAAGGTAAGAATGCTTACCTGCTTACAAGGGGCCCAAACAACCACAGGTTTCTCAAGACTATATTGGTAGGAAAGGAAAACTGAAAGGGAAAGAATGAGGTTAGCAGGATCAGAGGGCTCAGCACTGTAGAGTCACTGTTCCTGCAGCCTGGATCTTCCTATTTCCGACCTGCCTCAGGGCCCTCAGCAATCAGAAGAGCAGCCAACTCATTCTGCTAGAGACCCAGGCAATTTCTACCTGGCTAGGCTTAGCTGATTGGCCAAAATGATTGCTCAGCACCCTCTAGGTTGAGTGGGAACCAAGTCCAAAAGGGGACCTGGGTGCATTAGGTCTCAGATATGCCCCAGCAGCCCCAAGAAACAAGCCAGATCCCTCATTTTGGCTCAGCCACTGGCTGTGGTTAGATGAGAATGGGCAGAGCTCTGGTTAGCACTAGGGCCCTTTTATCACTCCAAAGGTGACTTCTCTGCCACCATTTTGGTCCTTTCCAGGACTGGGGAGGAGTGGTACTCTTTCCCTCACCTCGCTTGCCAGTTGCTGCAATGTTGTCTTCAACAGTCCACTTTTAAACATGTTTGGCATTGGCGTCTGCTCCAGTCTGGAAGAGAAACAGAGTTCTCAAGACTTAGCAAAGATCAAAGAGGAGGGAGACAGGCAGAAGTTTTACCCAGTCTGGTCAGGAGGTCTGCTATCTATGCCCACCCTCATCACCTCCACCACCCAATCATTCTGAAGTCAAGTACTCACATAACTACCTCCACTCCACCAGCAGGAGCTTTTCCTGTCCACCAAGTCCAAGTTAGAGTCCCTTCTTACCCACCTTGCCCTGTGCCCCTCTCTGACATCCTGTCTCATAGCACCTACCACACTGCGGCAGAATTGTCAGGTAAATTGTCATTTACCTTTGTCCTCTGCCCTGGCAAGAGGACAAAGGTAAATAAAGGGCGGCGAGCTATGGATGAGAATGACAGGGTCTATAACAACACTCACCTATGGCTGGGATTTCTTAGCAAAGTGGGAAAGAGAACTACCTGCATTCAAATACAAAATGAGGGGCTGGGGATGTGGCTCAAGCGTTAGCGCGCTCGCCTGGCATGCGCGGAGCGCTGGGTTCGATGCTCAGCACCACATAAAAATAAAGATGTTGTGTCCACTAAAAACTAAAAAATACATATAAAAAAAATACAAAATGAATACCTGTCATGGTCAAGGCTTTGTGCCAGGGGAGAGTGTACAGTAAGGAATAAAACAGTCAGTGTCCTCAAGAAACTCATAATTGGGAGAGGGCAGACAGAGAATTTAGCCAGCTCTACTAATCATTGACGATCTATGATTTCAGACTGCTTCGCTGGACTCTGGACTACTGAGTTGCCAGCCTAGCTTTTATCTGCTGGTCCCTGCTTGCCATAGGGCTGCACTGATGGATCCTCTTCTGAACCCAGCCCTTGCCTGGGCGCGCATAGTTCTGTCCCTCCTGTGGCCTACACCCTGGTTTCCTAGCCCATCTTCAGGGAAGGAAGTTTAGGCTCCTCAAAGCCAAAGTGGAAAAATGCCAGGTCTTTATTTCCAAGTCTCACGTGGGTCCAGGTCCTGGAGCAGCTCACCTGCTGAGAGCGGCTGAGAGGATGCCAATGCTTGTCTCCTTTGGGGGTGCTGAAGAGTGGCCTGGAGTCATGTTCACTTGCAGCATGAGGTCAATTGCACCCTTCTCTGAGATGGAAATCCTGTGGAAGGGGATCAGAGATGGTCCTTCTGATTTCTTTTCACCATGAATGAATCCACAGGCTTACAGGCCCATCTGTATGGTCTGGTGGGCTAGGAGGAAGCTTCATACTGCTTTAAGAAATCTATGCGAGAGGTGCAAAGGAAGGGCAAGGGATACAGCTCAGTTGGTAGAGTGCTTGCCTCGAAAGCACAAGGCCCTGGGTTTAATCCCCAGCACCACAAAACAAACAAATAAACAAACAAAACTCAGCCACCCACACCCAAGAG